TAGTCTGAGCTTCTACTCTTTTTATAATATTTTTAATAGTAAATTTATACTTTATGTAAAAATTTCAGATAAATATTCAATAAAGATAGAGGCATGGCCTCAACATTAATATTAAAAAAAAAAAATAAAAATTGAAGGTACTTTATTTAATTTCACACAAAAAAAAAAAAATAAATAAAATAAAAAAAATAAATAAAGTTATTTTATATAATTATTTTAGTACATTATTTATTAATTTATTTAATATTAAATTTAATTAAATATTTTATACAATACTTTTTTTAATAACTTTTGCAAGATTTTTGGTGATTGATTTTACATAAATCAAAAAAAATTTTTTATCCAATTTTTATTTGCACTTTTTCTTGTAATCTTTATTTAAGTTCTTGATGAATTCAAGTTTATGCCTTAATATTGAATCTTAAATATTTCAATAACTAAAATTTTGATATATATATATATATATTAGTTAGTATATTTAATATTCTAATTAACATTTTTATTATATTATATATAAATAGTAATGTTATTACCCAATCCAATATAGAAATATTTTTATCAACTAGAATATGTGTCTGAATATAAGCAAAAGTAAAAACAATGTAAAATGTATGGGTTTGAAATTAATGATTCACTAAGACCAGCCTGTAAGCATTTTAAAAGTGTTCTAAAATAATAGTAATTCAAAAAAAGCATTATTTTGAAGATGATTATAAAGAAAGTAATAATAAAACATCTATAAATATGTCTACTTCAACTTTATTATTAGGATTTATAGATTCTATTTCAAAAAGAGATCAGAAGTTACTTGAAATGGCATTTGCAAAGTCTATATTTCAATGTGGCTTTTTTTTATTATTATCTAAAATAGAATTTGTAAAAGATTTATGACAAAAAGCTAAACTAGCATTTAAACTTCCAAATAAAAAAAAGCTTTCTACAAAGCTATTGAATCATATTTTTAATGAAACCAAATATAATATTAAAGCTTTAATTAATAAAAATGAAAACATATGTCTTATATCCAATGAATAATCTGATTTAATACAATAATATTGGACAAATTATATTTTAACTATTCCAAACCTGTTTTTTTTGAAGCATATTCAACTAATAAGATATGACAAAATAGTAAAATGATTGTTCAAAAACTTGATAAAATTATTATTAAAGTCAGGTCATCAAAAATCTTAGCTTTAATTATAGATAATGTTTTTATTATAAAAAAAGCATAGCATATCTAGAAAAAAAATATCCTAAAACTTTTTTTTAGATTGTATAGTGTATAGCTTAAATCTTTTAATTGGTAATATCTTAAAGATATCATGAAGTGCTAATATTTTAAAAATACTAAAGAGATTATTTTATATTTTCAATCATATCAAATTTTAATGACTATTTGACAAAAATATCAATCAGCAACTTATAAATGCTACACATCCTTAAAATTACCAATTAAAACACATTGGTGATCTTCTGCAATCTGTTTAAACTCAATATTAAAAATCAACTTGTATTTACATTAACTATTACAAAATTAATATACAATAAGCAGAAAAAATTACTTAAATTAATAAATCAAACTATTAGAAATGAAGCATTTTAAAAAAATATTGAATAATTTTTTTAATATTAGATAAATTAATTGTTGGAATATCATTATTTGAGACTGATATGTTATAATTATCATTATTTTATCTTTAGTATTATGAATAGTTAGAATCTGATAGTAAATAACTAATCTATATATTATATTTAATAATTAAGTTTTAATAAAATTAATATAATTTTTTTTAGAAATAAATAACCAATTAAAATTTTATTTGAAAGTTAATAAAAAAAATTTTATTATTCTGTTATTACATTAGCACATCTTTTAGATCTATGATATCATGGTCAAAAACTTACTACTAATAGTATGCCAATAATCTTACAATTTGTTCAAAAATATTATTCAGACAATACAAATATTATCTGGTAACAATTAATCAAATATAAAACAAAAACAGGTATATTTAACTTTCAATTAATATAGAATATAGTTAATGATATTGATTTTATTGCTTAGTAAAAAAGTAACTTTAAAACCTTAGTACCAAAATTATATAAAGTTGTTACTTAAATCTTTGCAATTTCATCATTATCAACAGTATCAGAATGTAATTGGTCAGCTTTTTCCTATATTAAAAAAAAAGATCTAGATTGACTAATGAATGGGTTTTAAAATTAGTATATATATATAGTAAACTATAAACTTATTTGTTCATAACAAGAGTCTTCTGATATGATAAATACAATAGCATAGTTTAATAATAGACTAATAAAAAATAGAAAAGATATTGAGCTATTAGATCCAATAAAAGATGATTCAAATGATTTATATGAAAAAATATTGTTAGAAAATGAAAATAAAGAATTGTTTGAATTAGATACTGAAGAAACTGATAGTGAAACAGATAATACAGAGAGTGAACATGAATAGTATTATTTGCAATTAATATGTAAAGCACAAATATTATATGTTCTTAATGCATGATGAATTATCATTATATACAAAAAATATTAGTATAAATAAAGTATTAAATACTCAAAAGATATTTTTTTTGCATTGATTAGTTTTATTAATTAAATTTGTATCAATTAGTTTTATTAATTAAATTTTGTATCATTCAGTTTTATTTATTAATTAAATTTTGTATCGATCAAATTTTGTATGTATTAATTAATTAAATTTATTGTTATCGAAATTTTATTCATATTAATCACGTGCATCATGCACATCGTTGCTCATCATGTGCATTTTTTGCATAACGATAATGCGCATGGCATGCTCAAAATGCTGTATTTTGTCCATCTCTATTCCGGGATCACGTTTCCACTGCTCACAATATGAAGTCAAAACCTGTAAGATTAGGAATAAAACATTTAGAAAACAAGGCATGACTTTAAACCTGAAATGCATGCACACAGTTTGTATAAGCTATATTAAACCGGTTGCACTCCATTCATCATATATCAAGCAAATCTCGCAGCATTGTTCGGAGTTCCACACAAAGTCACAAGGATTGATCATCCAATCAAGTTCAAGATTTCGCACATTGACGTCTGAATCGCATATAAACCACTGGGACAAAGTAAACCGTTATAACGGCAAGCGCTATTTCGCGCAACTCCAAATCATGCGAAAACGAAAGGCATAAAATAGTAAAAAGGCTGCATAACAAAATTGATAATACAGGTGGATTCTTGTGTAAAACAGGTAATAACCTGACAATCAAAAAGCCACGATAATAAATAGTAAGGGCCCGTGTTCAAATCAATGATTAAATAAGATAGTCAAAACACTTTAAAATACAAGAATGATATCGATGCAAAAAATTTATATAACGCACAAATTCAGAAATCATGAGATAAAGTCACAAGGATCGATCATCCA